ATCTATCAGTGGTCAATTACAATCTTATTGTGATTTAATATATCATCATGAATTATATGTTGAACATTTTACATCAATAACAACACATTATCAATTATTATTATTATTTTTTATTTTATCTTATACATCATACATCAGTTGCAAGTCATTTATTTTTTTGGTGAAGGAATACATTTAGATGAAAGTGGTCTTCTATTAGTTTTATTAGTTGAACAATGCCTTCCATTACCATTAAATAAACAATTATGACCTAAATATATACCATAAATTTTATAAATATTATCAATAACAACATCAATTGATATTTTTAAAGAAGATTTTAATAATCTGAATTATCCTATGGATATAACAAGAAAAATTTATGCACAAATGCTTAGAAATATAACTTATAAAAAATGATTACCATTTATGATGTCACCGGTATATTTTAGTTTAATTTATCGAAATAAATAAATATATATGCATAATAAAAATTTTAATCCAATTAAAAGAAATGTTTTTGTTTTTACTTTGGCTTTGTTAATGTGCTAGTAATAGATGAGACTTTTGAATAATTCAAAATTTCGAAAAATATTTTGAAATAGAAAATATGCAGAATTTCAGGTAATACAAATCGTAAAGGAAAGCATTTAAGCTACATTAGTACAATGACCGAATAATTCCTCTCGAATCTTATTGATCAAATTCTCAGTCGTGCTATTTGTACTATTACAATTAAAGAAAACGACGTCTTTCTGATATTATATTTCGAAATAAATTGCATTCGAGAATTTCGATAAACTTTCTATAAGTTTGAACTCGTGAACTCCGAAAACGTATTGGATTTTTTCCACAGCATTAAATTTTTAGGATGATTCTTATAGTAAATGAAAATTGATTTGAGAAAATAAGAAACAATATAAATCTGTTCTTTGTTTGTTTTCCTAGGATTTTGTATAGTTATATCAAATGAAACAAATTAAAATGACATTGAAACAACACCTAATACAATTTATGAAAAAAGTCTTTTATCATGCTTCTAATCATCAACCATATTCAATTGCATTTATAGATTCTCTATCAATATATTTTGATAAAATACAAAATCATGTTGAATTAACATGTCAATTTTCAGCAGGTGATATACATGATTTATTACGTTTTATAATATTTATATCTGAAATAATTTATATAAATATATTTCAAAAAAAACATCATTTCTTAGTTGTGAAACAGATCAAATAATATCATGTTGTACATTATCGAAAATACTATTATCAATATTTGAATATATTTATCAACAACATGGTTTAACTATATCAAATATATTATAATCATATTTAAATTTAATTGAACCAGATAAATGATCTTGATCATCTTTATTATTTAACAAGAAAAATTAAATATATATATATATATCATATATTTATTGACATGATTTATATTGTATAGCTATATTATTATTTTGTTTACCAATATTTATATAAAGACAATTTTGGAGTTGGTTGATTATTAAGAATACAATTTCAAGAAATATAGGCTTCATTTTTAGCTTCAATTAATTCACCACAAATCAATCTAATGATGAAAATAAACAAACAACAAATAATTGTAAAAAAAAAAAAAAAAAGAAGAAACTTTAGAAACAAATGCAACACAATGGTAACAAGATTGAAAAATAAACTAGATTTTATCTGTTCTTTTTTTATCAATATTAGATACAAGTTCAAATAATTTATTTACAAATATTGAACGGTTAGGTACACGTGATTTATTATCCTATGGACAATTTTCATATGATATTATATTAACATCAATCCAAAGTAATAATACATTACCATTATCAGTTAATGTAAGTCTCACATATGTTTTAATAATCGACAAATAGAACTCTAAGTTAAAAGAAAGATAAATTTATTGCTAATTATTAATTTCATCAAACAGAAAATCTAGTGTTTCTCTGACTTTGATTTGATATATAATACATGCAAATTATCTTATTTCATAGAAATAAAAGCTTATATCAATAGTTTCAAATAAATTCTATCAATCAGAAAATTAGAGTATGAACATTTTCTTTGCTGGCATCTACCTTTAAAAATATATAATTTAGAGTTTATTTGATCGCTTATTTTTTCATCATGGTTTTGATTTAACATTATCATTACAAATTCTAATTGAAATATATATAATATGAATTAATAGGTTCGATTATATATCTATCTGATTTATTTCCATTATCATAACATTTATCAAATTTATATGATGAATATTTTTGTACATGGTTTAATGAAGATGATTTAATGACATCCTTAATAAGTTATAATTTATGTAAATCAAGTATATTACTTGAACAAAGAACGAAAGAATATAATGAATTATATCTACGTTTAATTGAACGTAATTATAAATTAATAACTAAAATTCATGCATATGCATCATGTTTATTTTTACTTGAAAGTCATGAAGTTGATTTAAATTCATATGATATTTTATATATCATTAATTAAAGATGATAATTTAACACAAAAAATTATATCAATTAGTCTTGAAAAACTTTTAATAGTTGGTCAATATCCCAAAAATGATATATGGTGTTAATACTTTCATGTATTTATACATTATTACAACGACCAAATAAAAATACAAAATCTATAAAATAATGAACATGTTAATAAAGAACAAACAATAATTGATAGTTCATCAATAATATCATCATCAGATAATATTCTTATTGAACTTGTTGAAGAATTATATGCACGTACAAAACAATCATCAACATTATCATATGAAGATTTAATTTTATTACGTCCTTTATCATTATTACTTTCACATATTAGTTTTTTTTCGTGCTTTAATTAATGCACGTTATTCAGCTAAAGTTAATGAATGGACTTTATTATCAATGACAAATATTGCACAAAGAAAAATCACTATGTATGGCTATATGGGGGTTAACTTGTCTTATGTTAAGTGCGTGTCTATCACAGGGTGTGGGTGTGGGTGGAGACAAGACCTATAATGATACCCACACCCACACCCACACCCTCTTATGAGTAAAATTCTGCCTATGGTTAAATATTCTTCCTAGTTTTCTTGTTAAAAATTATCAAGACTTACACAGACAACTAAAATTTATTTGGAAAAAAAAATAGTAAAACATTAATGAAAAACAAAAACTCTTTATTGCAATCCGAAGAAATGACGATCAATACAAAATCAATAAATTTTGCCATGAAATGTCAAAATGAATTTTCATTGATAATATTGTATATCTTTTACTTTTTTAAGTTTTTATTGATGTTATCACGTTTCAGTGTTCGTTTCGAAGAATCAGACAATCGTTTATTTCTTATTGCTGATCGAAAATAGTATCTGCAGGTATATTAAAAGAAAACTTGCAAATATCAATTGTATCAACAAAAAAGCAAAATCTATTTTATTTATTTTAGTTAACGAATATTGAACATTGACATCCATATGAACAAGCATTCACACATGAATCGAATCCAGAAAAATTATATGCTGATTTAGTTGAACACGTTCAAAATACGGTGTGGATGTAGATGTTGTTTGGATATGTTGATGAATCATATACTCTCTCTCTCACTGTCATCCATACCCACACCTTCAATAAAGACTAAAAATATCAATTTATAAAATGGAAAAATAGCAACAAGAATTAATTTATCTATTTTTTTTCTTTTTACTAGAATTGGTCTCTATTATAACAATCATATCTAAATTTTCTAAAACCAATCAGAATAGATTGTCATTTATTTTGTGCTCTAATTTCTGTTTGGCTTATTGATTTATATTTCATATCGTGTGTTTTATTATGGTTCCAATCATTGATTTAACTAGTAAATAAGTCGATTACATGTATCCATTAAACATATTTTAGCCATTGAAGTTTTAACGAAAACTTTTTTAAATCATGTCGTTAGAGTTTAAGAAAAAGTTGCACAAATCTGGATTAAAACTTGTATTTATAACCAGTACTTTTAATAATATCAAGAAGAATGTGAGTATAAATGTTGATATTCTGTTTAACCACATCTACAATTTTTGAATTGTTTTGATTTAGTAGATTATATGTAAAAAGCAGCTACCATACTTCATCCTATTGAACTGTTCTCTGAAAATCCATTGAAAATGATAAATTCAAAAAGTCTCGCACTACAGAATTGTTTCTTTTTATTCAAATAATAATTCTTTTTTCTTGATTTACTATTCGTACTTTTTATTATTTTGTTATCAATACAAAAAAAAATTGAATATTTTAATGTAAAAAGCAATTTATCATTGACAGTATTTAACGATAACTATCAGAAAAGGAATCAAACCAACTCCCACAGGTTCGAGTTCAGTTCGATGCCTGACAAGCGCGGTATTATCCTGTAAAATTATTTTAGATTGTAAATTTCTGAGAATTTTTTTAATGAAAAGCATAAGTTAAAACTTAACAATACAATCATCGAAATGCATGACTTCAGAAAAAATAAATCATAAATAACGAAAATTCGATCATCACTAAAGAATATTCTGTACGAAAATGATCGCATCATGTTCCTGTTACATTCTCAAGATACTAAAAGGCTTGTAAACATATTCTAGAATAGTTCAAACATATTTAGATTTTATTTTAAATTTATTTCTGGATTTCTGGTAAATGTTTATAAATGTAAATTGATCGCTTTGCAAAATATTTCATCGAACATCGTTTGATAATCACATATAACATCACAACTTTACAAAAATGATTATATCTTAGCTAATCATTTTTTTTTCATATGCTTATCTATATTTATTCATTTTTTCAAAATTACTAATATCTGTTTATGGAAGAAGTCGTTGTTTCAATGAATAGTACAATGTTGAATCCTGTTCTATTTTCATTACTGAAAATAGGAGCGACGATTAGCTTCAAAACTTTTTTCTCACAATCTACTTTTGTGATTTAAATTTTGTGTTCTAACTTATTTAACTTTGTTTCAAATATTTTTTTTGTTGTTGACACAGTAAACTTTGCATACATGTGACGAAATAAAATAAAGAAATTTTTTCTCATAAAATTTAATTTAAACAGAAAATACATACAATAAGGTGTGAGTTTTCGGTTCATCTACAAAGCCATACATTCTATTGTCTAGGAATTCGTTGTATTCTTCACTTTTTCTTCTGAAGAAGTGTTTCTTTTTTTTTTGATTTTGGGACAATTATCAATTTAGTTTGCGTTTTGTTTCAACAAGCAAGTCGTTGCAAATCTTCTAGATTAAGAAAATATTTTTCCACAGTTACAGTTTATTGTCTGTCTCTTCTGAATAGATCAATCAATCTTATTCACATTTTTCTAGCTAATAATTGTCATTAATATCTAGTTTTAAGAATCATTAGGATCATAAACTCAATCATTCGATTTTATTGTAATATAAGATTACCTGATTTTCTCCAACATGACATTTCTTGAACTCTTGCAAAGACATCCTTTCTCAGGCATTCGCTATCGACGATATTCAGAAACTCTAAGATATTATCAGTTAAATCTTCTAATCTTAAATAAATATATTTCTCCTGAATAATTGAAAATTCAGTTAAAATTAGAATTGACTTGTATCACAAATATTCACTCTATTCGTTAATTAACCTTAAGAAAATCTTATATTTTGTGTTTGAATATTTGGAATATAAATATTTCAAAAGTTACTCAAAAATAAAAGAGAACTTTGCAAGGTCACGATCTTTAAAATGATGATGCTGAAATCTTGCAGAACGCTGGTAGAAGTAGTTAATAGTTATGTCATTGATTATTTTAAAAACTATGCATTGAAAACAAAACAAAACAAAAACATGTCTGTTAACTCCTACTGAAGTATTCGCTAGTCAAAGAAACATTTGAATCATTAGCCTTAATAGTTATTTCCATACAATGTAGTATTTATACACAAATTTTTTGATTGTTAGTAAATTTATCAATAAGAATCTTGAACAAACTGTTCAAATTCTTCTGAAAAGTCATGATTTTTATAAATTTACTTATGCGCTCATATAAAAAACGTGTTTTTTCTTACCTACTGTTTCCTCGTACATTGAGATAAGTCCAGTGAGTGATAAAGTTAATTTCGCCAACTGTTGTCTTTTAAAGAAAACTCATGGTTTCACAGACTATGCATGCCTTTTTCTTTTCATATCGAATATAATTGTTGTTGCTCTTTTCAAGGAACTATTGCCTTTAGTCAATTAATTTTTGGTTAAAGAAAAGCATCAAATTTTGATAGCATTTGATATCAATATTTTCGAAGTAAATCATCAGTTGAGAAGAAAGTTAGGAGATTTACAAAACTTTCATTTTGATCTGATTATCTATAGATGACTGAATAAATTTGTTTGATCTGCCTCCTCTATTTCTTTTTTCATAGATCTTTTAAAGTTCTACAAAAGATATCTTTTTCTCTATTGCATTCATGTTATCAATTTTGAGTGAATAATTTCATCTTATATTTTTGAGAAAAATTCTTTCTCATAACATCAATATGTCTTTCACCTCTGCAAGTGTGTTATAGGAGACTTATCATTTCAATGGAATAATATTCATTTATCTAGCATCTTCTATTGAATTTTAAAAAGAACACTAAGATAATTTTAATTAAAGCTGCAAAAATTGTCGAAAAATATATCCAAGCAAGTAGGATATGAGACAACAAAATTTCAAAACAGGAAACTTTTCAAACATAAGATTGTCAATATGAATATCTTTAGAAATATAAAGAATGTTACAAAATTAAAATCATAATCATCTAATATGATGAATATTATTCCATTGAAACGATAGATTTTGTATTAAATCTATTCAGATAAAAAAAACACATAAAGCTGTTATGAAAAAAATTCTTCTCAATGAAATATAAGATGAAATTAGTTATTGGAGATTAGTACGATAGGAAAATAACATTGGGCTAGATTGATGCATTCTACAAAATTATATATTTCAATCAATGAACAGTTTATAAATTCATTGTCTTCTTAGATTAACCTGTCATATATGTTTATCTACATCAAAATGGTAATAAGACAAATGCTTGTAAGGTTTCTTACATCAAACTATCAGCTGTAACTGAGAGTTTCTACATTGAAAAAACTGATTTTGGTGTGGGTGAGTTTGGATGAGGTCAGAAAGAAGAGATTCACCCACATCCCACAAAAAAAGCTTGTCAAACTCGTGAGAA